TAAGAAAAAAAAAACGGTCAACGACAAAGAGAAAAAAAATCCCTTTCTACCATTTACACATGATGCAAGAGTCCCTTAATATTTTCATATTAAAGTCGTGTTAAAATTGCTACAATATTGTACAATTTCTTTTATATTAATAAGACTTTGTTAAATTTTTTGTTATCGTCTGGTTGGTTGTTGAATTAGAGGGCGGAAGTGAATTTGTTTGTTGTCAAGCGCAAAGCTACACAATTAGACAGCGATATCTTAACTTTAAAACAGATTAGTTAGTGGCAACAATACATCTTAATTCAATCTTAATGGCTACCCAAAGCAGCAGCTCTGTAGCTCCAAATCTAAAGTTAAGCTGCAAAGAAGACAAAAAAAAACGTCTTATTGTATCAGAAAAAACCGTATTAGAAAAAACTCACATCATGGTAACAGAAACCATGAAAAAAAGTTTGAATTATTTTTCTGAAGGTAAAATTTCGCATTATAGATTGTTAGAAAATGCTGACGATCTAGCGTTTAATTTTTTTTTATCAGTTGTACTACATCTACTAATCAATACTCACTGAGCATGCCCAAACAAAAAAAACATCCGGTAGGCGTAATTAGCGTCTAAACGTTTGAAATAATTCCTTTTGTTGTTTCCTTATATTTTTCCAAGCGTCATTTTTGTTGTAGAATAACTTTATATTAATTAGCAGTCTTCAAAAAATATAAACTACAATTAAAAGAACGTGATTAAAGAAGAAAGATCGTGCAATTAGTTTTAAAATATGGTCGATTCGGATTATTATATTTTTGCCTTCAAATAACTAATCCAACAGTTGTTTTTTTTATGCTCATCATGAAGAACTTTTGGTACAAAGTTATATTATCCACATTTCATCATAAGATTTAAAATACGTTGTGTATAGAGAGCTTAAAAGTTATACTTGAAGCACTACATCATAAGAATTTCGTTAATGACCTAAACTAATTTTATTTGTTAAAATTTGATCAATAATGGGGAGTTACAAAACCAACATAAACAAAATATTTTGTTTTAAACGTCAAACGATTTCATGAACATTTTTTAATCGTTGTTAGTCTTACTTTTGTAACCTTATTTTTAGATTTAAAAAAGGTTTATTAAACAGTCTGTTCTTCTTATTGGGCCTCCAGTGAGACAACGATAAATCTGTAGGCTTCCAAAACTAAAATTAAAGTTTCAATACCCGTGGTGGGCAGAGCTCAGATAGAGGTGCGTAATAAAATTATTTTCAGTTATTATTATCCCCCTCCCAAGAAAAACAACAACATCACCATTTGTGTATGTGTAGTCTCCCCCTCCCAAGAAAAACAACAACATCACCATTTGTGTATGTGTAATCACCTCTCCCAAGAAAAACAACAACATCATTGACCTTTTTTTTCACGGTTAGGATACTATATTGTTAAAAGAAAAACAACAACATCACCATTTGTGTATGTGTAGTCGGGGAGGGGGAGACTACACATACACAAATGGTGATGTTGTTGTTTTTCTTGGGAGGGGAGACTACACATGTTAAAATGTTTCATGTCATTTTTTTGTGTCCTTGTTTCAGAAGCTAAGCGCAAATGTACACAAAACGCTATTTGTGCACAGTCGGCTCTAACTCTTAGGCTACTTTTATCTGATCAAATAGTAGGATTTGACCACCACTCTTATAGCACACCCACAGCTCCAAAGTGCGGAGCGTGTTTTTATGACAAAGAGCTGTAATTATGAATCGTTAGAGCACGCTAACTACTAGGTCACACCCAACCAGCTTCTTGTAGTTTATTTCCATATTTTTACTA